CATAGCTGGAGTATAATGGACCAGGCGAGAAAATAACAAAAATAATGAACAACCATATACCAGAGACATTTTGTGGGGGTGGTGTGGGGAATGGGATCAAAATGGGAGGGGGGGGAGTGCCTGGGATTATGGAGATGGCACACGGGTGACTTGGTGATGGGAAACCCGCGAGGATAACAATTAGATGGGGGAAAAATGTACAAAATGATGTAAAAATAAACTGTTATAAAATTTTAAAAAATGTGCCATTCTCACTGGTGTGAGATGGTATCTCGTTATGGTTTTAATTTGCATCTCCCTTATTACAAGTGACTACATCAGTATTTTTTAAACTTAAAAGATTTTTATGAAATCCAGTAGGCCTGGGGCAAGAACTAAGATTTTTGCATTTTTAATGTACAGCTGTTCCTTTGAATAGACAGGGCATATCAATCAACCTGGCAGTTAAACAAATTCACCTCGGCAGCCTTAGAAAAATTTTCATTTAATTGGCCCTGATCAGAAATTTCTAATTGGAGGAGTTTTTGTATAAAGACTGAATTGTCTTGTTTGGCAGGGTTTTGTTTTTTTTACACCCACACATGGTTATTGTCATAATCAGTTTGAGAATTGTAAGTTTAGAGGTTAACATGTTATAGATATTTTGTCCCACACAACACAAAAATTAAACTGAATTTTGTTTAATTAAGCACTGGCAGGATTATCTTGTTGGAGAGCATTTGTTTAAAAAGTTAAGAAGTCCGCTCATATATATTTGGAAGGATTTGTTGGTAAACACCAAGAGCAGGAAGTATCCCTGTATCTCAAAAGAAAACAGAACTAGAAATTAGGGAGCCACTAAGAACCAAGAATATTCAGACTTCCTCTCTCTTTTCTCTTTGGACTGACTTTTGCAGGAAATGGCCACCTAGACAGTTTAGTTTGGTGCCATCAATTAGTTCCACATTCCTGAGAGAATTTGAATGCAATCTAGCCTCTAGGTTGGTTTTTCCTGAGCCAGAAGACCACCCCTGGACAGTGCTATTGTGATCCAGAGATCTGGGCTTATAGCAAGCAAACAAGCTTTAGTGCCCCCCTCTGTGGGAAGGGACATTGTTGGCCACGCCTCCTGAAAGGTGACTTCTGTAAGTGTCTACTATGTTGCTTTTCATAGTTGGGACAGGGTTTTAGAACCAAGTGAAATAAATCTGCTTTTGGAGTGGACAGGTTCCAGGGGTTGGCAGGGTGTGAGGAGCAAATGAGGGGCATTATTTGCTTAATGGGAGGGAGAGACGGACAAATGGAAACTTTAATTGGTGTGATATGCTCTAAATAGTGCTGTAAGTAGTGGGACATCTCGGGATCCTACAAGACAGGCACTTAATTATTTTGCATTTAGGGAACATTCAAAGGACATGTCTGAACTAAATGTGAAAGATAAGTTCAAGTTGGCCAGGTAAAGAGTAGAAGACAGTATTCCTGACACTATGAACAACATGAGTGTGAAACACACACATACAAAAATTACTTTGAATAGTAATTCAGAAGCTGTTATTTCTAGAACATAAAATGAAGCTAGAGAGATACATAATCAACTGAAGAGAATTTTGATAACATGCTGAAGAGCTTAGGTTAATTTGGATTAAAAAGCATTTAATGCTTGGTTGACAGGGGATAATTTCCATTTTGAGGAACAGACCATGATTGTAATATGGAGTGTCTTGGATGTTGGCTTTGCCTGAGGCGTGAAGACCAGTTACAGCTGTGGACTGGAGAGGTGATGAGAAAGAAGAGGGAGAGGAAAGACCTAATTGTAAGAATAGGAGGTGGTAGATTTGGCTGGACTAGATCAGGTGATGGGAATGAGGGAAAGGAATCATCTAGGACAAAGCCCAGGCTCAGATGCCTGGGCAAGTTGTTGTGGCATTAGTTAAAACGATCATTTTGAAAAAGGAAGATAATTTGTTCTGAACAAACTGAGTTCAAGTATCTATGAGACATATTATCAGTGGTGCCAACTAGGAAGGTCAGTTGCTCTCAGTAATTATCAAGACTTATATTACAGGTTTGGGAATGATTGTATCCTCCCACCCCCTTTTACAAACTTCAAATTTTTCCTCAATCTCTGCCTAATATTGCTCCCCTCCTTACCTTATTATTTTTTTTTAAAGATTTATATATTTGTGCATATAGAACTGGGGTACAGGCCAGAGGCACAGGGATGGTGAGAGGCTTCACCAGAGACAGAGTGGGGAGCAGAACAGGCAGATCAACGAAGTCCACTGCTGAGGGGAGCAATGGGCGGGTCAGGAGAGGTCTGCTTGCCATGTGGTTACCTCTGGGGCAGGCAGGGATCAAACTTATGCGGAAGTGGCTTTAGCTTCTTAGTGCTGTGCTTTAACCTTGGTGCTGTGTGCCACCACGGAGGGCCTATTTTATTATTTTTTAAAGATTTATTTTTGCTTATGTATACAAGAGTTGGGGTACAGGCCAGAGATATTGGGGGGAGGTGAAAAGATTCACCAGAGCCAGAGTGGGGAGCAGCACAGGTGGATCTACTGAAATGCACTGCTAAGGGGAGCAGTGGCTGAGGTGGGAGAGCTGTGCCATTGTGGGTTAGCTCCCTTGCAGAATTTACTGCCACTTAACCTGTGTTCCTGTAGCATTGTATTTCTGTTAAACTTTCCTATTTCATTGAGTAGTAACCTGATCATGGCTTTATAGTGATTTCTAGGGGTTAGCACATAGAAGACATTAACGTTTGATGAATAATTGAATGAATGGATGTTTGTACCAGGGTCAGCCACATTAAAGGAAAATTATGATCAACTTTTGTATCCCTTTTCTCTTGTAGCTATTTGTAGTTGATGTCCAGACAAGCCAAATCACCAAGATTCCCATTCTGAAGGACCGAGAGCCTGGAGTTGTGACCCAGCAGGGCTGTGGTATCCATGCCATTGAACTGAATCCCTCTAGAACACTGTTAGCCACCGGAGGAGACAACCCCAATAGTCTTGCCATCTACCGGCTGCCTACACTTGATCCTGTATGTGTGGGAGATGTAAGTGTCCCCAATAATTGTACTTACAGGTAACCTTATTTTTAAACAGACCCTATTAAGTAACATGGACCCTCCAACCCCTTGGGAAAGGTTGGTTTCCTCTAGATTTCTGTTGGCTCTGTGGGCATAGAGGTGAAATATAGGGTGGTGATCAGAATGGGGACTGAAATCCACATAGGGGAAGATCAAATATGTTGACAAATATTGTATGTTTGATAAAGAGGGAAGCTATGTCCTGCAGAGTTCATGTTTGAATTTATAGCATTTACACTTAGTTGCTCATAGTTTAGGGCAAAATTTATTAAACCATTCAGTAACTATTGAGCTTTCTATGATCAGCATTATTTTAGACACTGGGACACAGCAGTGAATAAACAAAATAGATAAAGCCCCTATCCTTTTGAAGTCTGTATTCTGGTAGGGGGAAACACAGAAATCCACAAACCAATAAATATTTACCAGCAGTATGTCAGACTGTGTTTAAAAAAAAAAATACTATTTCAGAGAATAGCAAAGAAAGTCTTCATAAATAAGCAAGGAGACTTAAAGGAAGTGAAGGTATAGGCCATATTGATGGCTATAGAAACAGAGTTTCAGACATTCCTGACAATAGCAAGAGCGAGGATGTTAGGTAAGATAGGTGCAGGGGTGAGAGGTGATGTGTGTAGTAACCCCATATAAGACATCCAGACATAGAAGGCCAGAATTTATGTGTCCATCAGACATGTTTATTGCCTACAGGAATGCCAGTTTCATTCCAGCTTTGTTCTTCAAGAGAAAAGTCAAGGGTTATGCCCTATCGATTAAGATCCTCAGCGATCAAAGTTGTAATTTTCCAAAGATACTTTCAGAAAGATTTAGTTGCTTTCCAAGAGTGTGCTTTGTGATCCTTATTTTACTAATTTATTTCCCCCTCCCCCTTCCGCTTCCTCCTCTTTAAGGATGGACACAAGGACTGGATCTTTTCCATTGCATGGATCAGCGACACTATGGCAGTATCTGGTAAAATTGGCCTTTTGTAGGGAATTTTTGGTGTGGCAGGGAGGGAGGCTAGAAATTGCAGAGATATTAATGCGACTGGAAATGGCCCAATAAATACACCATTAGCCAAATCATGTTTCCAGTAGTTACTCTTTCTGATTGACCATGTGCCTTTTGATAAGTTCTTCATCCTATATATCCTGATCTGATCTGGAAAGGGAGGATATTGGTATACTTCATTTGTTCATACTCTACCTCATTCTAAAAAACAGACTAGCACCCCCTGAAAAAAAAAAGATTAGCCTCAACATTTTTGTGTGTTTCATTGTGGTAATGGTTGTGAAGGTGTTTTGGAAAAGTTGATAGTCTCTGCAAAGTGATTATTTTCTGTATGACTATGTAGAGTTAAGTTCCTTGTTAGTAAAAGCTATTTAGAATTAGAGGAATTGTTTCCTGTTGGCAGAAAAACCAGAAAAAATAGATGGGAGTATTAGAAGATAAAGTAGAAATAAAGAAATGCTTTCTAGATACCTACAGCAGCCTAGAAAGTAGGATTAGAGTACTGACCAGCTTTGTTGGCTACTCATATGTAGAAATACATTCCACATAAAAATAATCATAATAGTTGCTAAATTATGTATTTCACCTTATTTAACCTTAGAACAGTAGGTTTACTTTGTTACCCTATTTCAAATGAGAACATTGAGATTCTGAGAAGTTAACAATAATTTGCCAAAGGTCTAACAAATCATTAGGGTTTCAGAATCTGAATCCGGGTCTGAATTCAAAGCTGATGTTTAGGGGCCCTCCCTGGTGGTTCAGGAGTTAAAGCAAGCACTGTGAACGTATCTGCAGCTACTGCAGCATGAGTTTGATCCCAGACCCATATCTGTCCCACCCTCTGTTCCCCTCAGCAGCTTAGTTCAGTCAATCTGCCTGTTCTGCTACCTGCTCTGTCTCAGGTGAATCCTCTCATCCCCAACACCTCTGGCCTATACCCCAGTTCTTGTATTAATAAATAAATTGTTAAAGAAAAAAATGGTGATGCGTAGAACAAAACTAAGGGAAAGTATTTTTGTTTTGGATTCTTTGCAAGGCAGTAGAAAGCAGCCAATAAGTCTAATAGTCAAAGGTTACTATTACTCAATGCAAATTTAAAATAAGCTTTCTAAGCTACTGTAACCTCTGACCTCCTGCACCTCAGGCCTACACCACAGTTCTTACATGCTTAAACAAATAAAATTCTGAAGCTTTTGGAGACTGTCTTTTACCTCCCTAAAAAAAGGAACCCCTGGGCTCTCCCTGGTGGTGCAACAGGTTAAAGCACCACATTATGAAGCTCTCCGAAGCCTCTGCAACTCAAGTTCGATCCCCGGCCAGGGAGCTGACCCACATGGCGTGACAGAACTCTTCTGACCGCCCCGCTGCTCCCCTTAGCAGTGTACTTTGTCAATTCTAATCTGCTCCCCACTCTGTCTCTGGTGAATCCTCTCGCCCACCACACCTTTTGCCTTTTCCCCAGTTCTCTAAACATAAATAAATAAATCTTAAAAAAAAAAAAATTAGCTGCTCACTGGACTATGGTGATGGCACATGGGTGATTTGGTGATGGGAAGCCCATGGAGATTACAACTGAGATGGAAAAAGGCACAAAATGATGTGAAAAATAAACTATTATATTATTTTTTAAAAAAAATTTAACTCCTTGAGGACAGAGGCTAAGTCACATAATGTCTAAGTAACTGTCCTTATGATAGTAACCTATGCTAAATTTGGTTCTTGGGAGGCAGCCAGGACTTTGCTTTGTTTAGGAGCCTCCCATCTCTTCTTACAGATACCCTGCCAGTATCCTTTGTTTCTGACTGCTAACTCACAAATCTGTTTCCTGAGTAGTATGCAGATTTAAGAACATTGGCTCTGATATTAAAGACTTGAATTTAAATTCTGCTCTCTCCACTTATTAGCACTGTGACCTTAAGCTGTTTGAGACTTGTTCCCTCATCTGTAGCATAGATAATGATTATATATAATTAAGAGAGTCATTGGGGACCTTAAATGAGATAAACACTGGCATGTGGAAAAGTCTCAATACTTGGTAATGAGTGGTAACATTCATACTGGATGATGAGCAACAACCCCATCCCACCTCAGAATTGGTATATTCAGACATCCAAGAGTCCTCCCCTTCCCCTATGGCCCAACACTCCCCCCCTCCCCCTTCCCCCTCCTTACATTGATATATGTTGGTGAATGCATTTCCATCCTGCTGCAAAGCCAGAGAACTAAAACTTGTCTTAGGCGCTTCAGTCTCAGATTGCCAAGCCATATTGATAATGTTTTCTGAAATACCTCTTAACAGCCATCAATTTCTTACCTTCTCAGCTTGAGTATTCATCATTTATCTCTTAAATTTCCCCAGTATCCTTTCATATTTCTCTACCTTTAGTCTTGTCCCTTCCAATCCAGTCTTCTTGTTGCTGCCTACCAAATTAGTTCTTCTTTTCCTATTATGAAAGTAATATATGTTACTGTAGAAATTTTGATTCTATGAATTAACTAAACTTTTACCCCAGAGATAACTACTGCTAACATTATTGTGACAATATAGTAATATATATCTGGCTAGTCTTTTCCAGTAATTGGTAAAAAATTGGGGGATATAGAGGGATGGATAACTGGATAGATATATGATAGAACAATTAAGTAATGCATGTGGTAGAATATAGCTATAAATATAACGTTTCATTATAAAATTCAGCATTTCAGGATGCTTGAAATTTTTCTTAACTATAGTTTTTTTTAATTTGCATAATAAACCAGGCATAGTTCTACAGATATGTCCTTCCCTTTCTTGATTTTCTAGATTTCACATATGTTCAGCCCTCTGCTTTGAATTCCTGACCACGAGGCTAACAAATTGAGTGATCGTTTTCCCATATTAAAACACTGCTACAGACCACTCTGGTGGCCTAGGGCTTAAGGCTCAGTGCTTCCAGCCTCAGTTCCATCCTCGGCCAGGATGCTGACCCACAAGTGGCACAGCAGACCTCCTGTCTTGCCCAGTGCTCCCTTCAGCAGTGGGGAGCCTGTTCTGCTCCCTACCATATCTCTGACCTATATCCCAGTTCTTATACAGAAAAGAAAGAATATTTAAAAAGTAGACCTCCGTGGTGGCTCAGGGCTTAAAGTCTCAGTGCTATCAAGCTATAGCCTGCCACTTGCAGTATGAGTTCAATCCCCGAGCAGGGAGCTAACCCACATGGTGCAGCAGACCTTTCTTGTCTCACCTACTGCTCCCCTTAGCAGTGTTTTTTAGTCAATCTGCCTATTTTATTCCCCACTCTGTCACTGGTGAATCCTCTCACCCTATGCATGTCTGGTTCACACCCAGTTCTTCTATGCATAAATAAAACTTTAAAAAACAAAAAAAGAAAATTAAAAAAAAAAGACATTTTACTGCAAAACACTCAGGAGATTGTAGAAGAGGCATCTTTTGGTCTCAAAGGAAAGTTAGGAAATTACTTCACTGAAGATGGAATTTTAAAATACAGTTTTTTCTTAGTGATTCTTGATGTTTTTTTGTAACTCCAGTATAGCCCTGTTGTTGAACATACAGATTGTTCTGAATAAACAAATATCTTTGTATATTGGTTTTATGAAGGTGGGTTAGCCCCAGATAGGAAAGTTAACATTCTGGGTTTTGTTGCAGTTTGCTCAGTTGTACTATAAAAAGATGAACCCGCCACCAAAAATATATTTGCAAGGACAGTTCAAGTGCTCTTAGTTTTTTAAGTATTTGACTATTTATTGATATGGAAAACTATCTATATGTAGAACAATTATTCTTAATATAGAAATTGCGGTCCTCTCTGGGTTTATTGAAAGTCTCCATGAGCCTCCTTGAACTTGATTGCATAATGTGGTGCTTTTATGTGTTTTTTTTAGAAAAAGGACCTAACATTCCTTAGTCTTTACAAGGGGTACAGGATTCAGATAAGATTAAGAACGAGTGATCCAGAGTGGAGGTTCCCAAGCCCCACTGCCCAGTGTATGCATGCATAGCTGACCTAGCATTTAGTTTGGAAAGTACTGAGCTTTATCACACTGTAAAGCTTTTGAAAACCCCCTCCAGTTGGGGCCTCCCTGTTGGTGCAGGGGTTAAATTCCCAGCGCTATCAAGCTATCCCCTGGCCACTGAGAAATGAGTTCAATTCCTAGCCAGGGAGCTGACCCACACATGGCTCGGCAGACCTTTCCTATCTTGCCCACCACTCCCTTAGCAGTGTATTTCAGTAGATCTTCCTAATCTGTTCCTCACTCTGTCTCTGGTGAATCCTCTCACCCTCCACACCTCTAGCCTACACCCTAGTTCTTGTATGCATAAATATATAAATCTTTTTTAAAAAAAGAAAAAAAATCCTAGCAACTGTGTTAAGCCAAAAGGTTGTTTTTCGGTAATTCATACCCCTTAATTGAATAATCTTGATGTAACTATCAAAATTCATACTGCTCCATATTTTGGGATAGCTCACTGACCAGACTTCCTCCTATGTGATAATGATAAAGAGGTAGACACAGAAAACACATTGTAAACACATTTGATCACATAAGGAATTGGGTATGTCACCTGACCTCTGTGGATCTTTGCCCTGCAGGCTCACGTGATGGTTCAATGGGACTCTGGGAGGTGACAGAAGATGTGTTGACCAAAAGTGATTCAAGGCACAATGTGTCACAGGTACCTGTGTATGCTCACATCACTCACAAGGCCTTAAAGGACATCCCGAAGGAGGACACAAATCCTGACAACTGTAAGGTCCGCGCTCTGGCCTTTAACAACAAGAATAAGGTATGAACCTACCAAAGGTTCCTAAAAGCCATTCTCCTTACTGCAACTCCAGGTGCCTGCTGCATAACTTGGTTCTAGTCTGCAGAGCACCTTTTGAAGGCTGGGGAATGCAGATGAAAAATTATAGTTGAGTTATGAAATTTACCCTTAGCATTGAGCTCGGTAGTGTTTCTCTGTATGGTCCATATTGGAAGTCAGTGTCTCAGTGTTTCTCCATGGCCATGCTGATTTGACTGTTTCTCATTTGCATGTGCCTTTGATGTGATTTTTTTTTTTTAAACATGCCTCTGTAAACAGTTACTCTTATTTTCAGTACAGTATTTAGTTAGTTTTCATTCTTTCCTGTCTCTTCTCAATACTGCCACCAGGTCTGCCTAATTTTTGGAACAGATTTCAAACTGGGATATTAGGTACAATGTTGGGATGGAGACCCAAAAAAACAGAAGAGGAGAAAGATCTTCCAAAATCTGAAACAGGCCACCGTTCAAAGATTAGGTCCTTTAACCTACTATCTCCAGTCCTACTGATAGCTTAAGGGTAAAATTATTTCTCTACTTTAGGTCTTCCACTTACAGAAGCTCTCACAATGAGGCATAAGAAATTGCCCTTCATATGTGTATTATGACATCCAAAAGGATGTCATGGGAATGACTACATAGTAAGGGCTCTTTGAAGTCTGTGTTATTACTAGGACAAACGCTGCATTCCTTCTTGAGTTCTTTCAAGAAGTAGCCTTGATTAAAAATGCTATTGCTGGGGCCTCCCTGGTGGCACAGGGGGTTAAGTCTCAGCACTATGAAGGTTATCAGCAGCCCACTGTAGCACTAGTTCAATCCCTGCCAGGGAGCTGACACACATGGTGCAGCAGACCTCTCCTGTCTCCCTGCTGCTCCCCTCAGCAATGTACTTTGTTAGAAAACTGCCTGTTCTGCTCCCCACTTGAATGAATTCTCTCACTACCCCTGCACCTCTGGCCTGTACCTCAGTTCTCTGTGTGTGTGTGTGTATATATATATATATTTTTTTTTTTTTCTTTTTTAAAATCTAAGTCAGTGTGGGTGAGAACTTAATGCTGGAAGTTATAAAACTGCCAAAGATAAAATAAAATGCTGTCCATTTGCATTCCTTAAGGTGAGAGGATAGGCTGATAATCCCTGGAACCCCTGCCCTGTTGAAACCATCATGAACTAGGAATGAAGAACCCCAACCTTCAGGATCTTTCCTGAATATAGCTGCTATATTAGCAGTATATTAGCAGTATGTCAGTATATTAGCTGCTATAGATTAGAATATAACCTCATTTTCATTGCTCTTGTAGGAATTGGGAGCAGTATCGCTGGATGGCTACTTTCATCTCTGGAAGGCTGAAAATACACTATCTAAGGTGTGATGACCATGACATTGATTTTACAAAAAAATTCACCTGTGGTTAAAATATTTCATCTCTAAATCTCCAGTTCTCAAGAGTCTGTATATGACTGCTTGGTACATGAAATTCTGTCTGGCATGCTTCTCTTAAAAGCTTTTTTACAGAAATCAGAGGGGGCAATTCTTTCACAGTTCAGCAGCTTTCAGAAAGCTCCTTCAACTAACAGTCTTTCAATCCACAGTGGTCTAAGTATTTGCTTGAGGATTATTGACTAGCATGTTGTGAGGACAGAGTAAGGCTGGCAACTGAAGTCAGTTAAATTAAGATAACCCCATCTCAGATGTAACTATGTAAGTTACTAACCTTTACAAGCTACTTTTGCAGAAAGTTAATTTCACCTGTGGATCATTTTCCCCCTTCTTCTAAAGGCCTTTGCTGTTTGTTACTTCTGTGATAGGCTCTTTCTCAAGAAACCCCCAGAACTTCTGATTACTCCCTGTCCCAGCAGCCTGTGCTCTCTACTGACTTTGCATGAGTGCATTACATGCAGTAAGGCACCTACTGAACACTGGCTAAATGATAAAGACCCAGAGTTGAGGCTGATTGAAGTTATCTGGTTGAAACAGCCCTGTGCATGCACTTTCTATACACTCATAAAATTGGGAGGTTAGGCTAAGGAGAGCCTGAAATCAGCCCCTTTAACTGAAGAGCAGTGAGCAAGGAGGGCCTTGGCTCTTCCTCACTAAGAAAACTGGGTAAGCCCTTGACTTTAATAGCCCTTGACTTTAATAGCTAGAAACATTCTGTAGCCTTTGCCCTGGCCTTCGCGCTTCCCTTTCCCCATGCTGCTGATTGATTAATTCCATTCTCACCTTTTTTTTCTTAACCCGTCCTCTTCAGAACCAAGATCTTGTTGTTGTTTACTACCCCCCCCCCATTCTTCTTAAACACGTTGGGGTGGAGCAGAATATTATTTCCTTAATTAGGGCTGTTTTTTGTCCATGACTTTGACTTGTATATGAGGGAAACTCTTAGAGAGGGGATTTCTGCCCTGTGCTCTCTGGTAATGCCATGGTTGCATCTCTCTTTTTAGCTGCTCTCCACCAAACTGCCATATTGCCGTGAGAATGTGTGTCTGGCCTATGGTAGTGAATGGTCAGTATATGCTGTGGGCTCCCAAGCTCATGTCTCCTTTTTGGATCCAAGGCAGCCATTAGGCAACATCAAGTCTGTCTGCTCCAGGGAACGAGGCAGTGGTAAGAGTCCCGGTGTGCTCCTTAGGCTTACATCTGCATTGCAGATGGGTTTTGATCTTTAGTTTCTATGGTGGTTCCCAAATAAGTATAGTCATGTTTATGAAACCTGCTGTGGTGTTTGATGACACAGAAAGGAACTTAAATGTCTGTCTGTGACAGCAGAACTTCAAACATCACAGACAGATGAGTCGCCACAAAAGTCTTTGGTGGAAACCAACAGTAAGGTATCGTGTGTTTTCACAGATCCCGACTTTTTGCTGCAGTGCTTCCTAAAGTATAAAATTCATTTATGCAAAAGGATAGTGTATGATGGGGAAAACTAATTTTAAAAGGGTGTGAGATAATTTTTGAGGGTAATTATTTAGATTATGATGATGATGTCATGGATGACTTAACATGTTAAAACCTTAAATTGTATGCTTACATGCAGCATAGTATATATCAGACCTCATTAGCGCTGAAGAAAATATAACTACTAGATGAATTAAGCTGTAGCTCCCATCTTTTATAGCATAGTCTCTTAAAAGCACCCTCATTCTATATTGAGGAATAAAAAGAGAGATTTATGTTTGTATTATACCTTTAATGTTTGGTGGGGGGGCGGGAAACCACTATCTAGATCATCCAACTTAAAGTGAATTTTCTTCTTTATCTTATTTTGTCCCCATTCTCATGAAAAAATATGGCTGTCTGCACTATCTTATGAGTTCCAGTACAGTCTTTCTCTCTGAAATTTTGAGTGTATGTGCAGATATGCCAGAAGTAGCTTTTGTTTAGGTTGATTTGTTATCAAGACCCTCACTTTTCGGAACAAAGAGTCTGGAATGTTACGAAAGTAGTAAGGGAAAGAATAAATAGCCAGGCTGGAATGATGCCTGCAATGAAAGATTTGAGAGTTTGTAGTTACTGTTAGAGAAATAGCTGTCCTACCTATTCAGAAAATCATGGGTTCTACAAATATTATAGCGCAGTTCCTGTGTGTCAGGAGACACCTCCATACCCCATGCATGGCATGAGGCTTCTCAGGCTTTCACATGAGTTATACCTGCCATAGATAAGACTCAGTCTGTATTTCGGGGTGCCATGTGAACTCAATGCCAGAGAATTCAGGCCAGCAGACAGTCAAATGAGTACCTTCCTTGCTCATCCCCTTTACTTTTTCTCAGGCATCCGATCAGTGAGCTTCTACGAGCAGATCATCACTGTGGGCACAGGACAAGGCTCCCTGCTGTTCTATGACATCCGAGCTCAGAGATTCCTGGAAGAGAGACTCTCAGCTTGTTATGGGTCCAAGCCCAAACTAGCAGGAGAGAATCTAAAACTAACCACTGGCAAAGGCTGGCTGGTGAGTATGCGTCTACCTGACTTGGTTACTTGACAAAGAAAAAAATTCTCCCTCACACACACTCCCACTGACATTCCACCTACCCATATACTTTGCATCATTAAGAGGCATTTCTTGGAGCAGGGAAAGGCACTTTCCCTTGATTTTGCTTTTGTGTCTGCATATCTGTGGGAAAACTGAGGCCCAGTAATGGGGCCTCCCTGGTGGCACAGGGGTTAAAGTCAGTCAAGCCAGCCACTGCAGAATGACTTTGATCCCCAACCAGGAAACCGACCCACATGGCACAGCAGACCTCTCCTGTCAGCAGTGTATTTCAGTAGATATGCCTGTTTTGTTCCCCACTCTGTCTCTGGTGAATCCTTTCCGAGACATCCCTCTGTACCTCTGGCCTGTACCCATTTCTTGCATAAACAAATTATGCATATGTACTTATATATATATATGCTTACTTACATACATACATAAAAACACTGAGGCCCAGTAAGACACTAGTTGGCTACGATTCCCCCATGTGATAAAAGAGCAAAAAGGAAGAGGAACCTTCTACTACCAGTGAATTTTTAAGTGGTTTGATTCCAGCTGTTCTGAGAAGACCTTAGTTTTGTGTAGCAACTCTTCATTCCATTCAGTGCTTCCCTAATGCTCAATTGGAAAAATGAGGCCCCATTCCCATGAGTACCAATCTCCTGACATCAGATTATAGGTACAGGACCCTTTTCTCTTAAGGAAATCAGTAAGCATTCCAAATCTCTTTGGCCTTTCCTCCTACCCCTTGACCTAGAGGTGCTAACAGAATCTTTCTTTACCCACAGAATCATGATGAAACCTGGAGGAATTACTTTTCGGACATTGACTTCTTCCCTAATGCTGTTTACACCCACTGCTACGACTCGTCCGGAACGAAACTCTTTGTGGCAGGAGGTCCCCTCCCTTCAGGGCTCCATGGCAACTATGCTGGGCTCTGGAGTTAATGACAACTAATTCTCTCCCAAAATGCAGAGATTTACACTAACTTCCATCCTCAGTTTCTTTGTTTATTCTTTTGGCTTGTTGTTGGTTTTTTGTTTTTTTTTTTTCCCCAATTGTGTGATGCCCTCATACTTTAGTGGGATCACCAGAGTTGACTTAGTGGCCTAGGCACTACATAAGAAGCAGCTCTGTACCGAAATCTGAAGGCTTTTGGTTTTTTTCCTCTTTTGGTAATCAGAATTTTACTCTTTCTGGCTTCCCAACCAAATGTTAATCCTTATTTGTATTTCTTTAAGTGACACACACTTTCCTGTCTTGGACTTCTTTAGACTGACGTAGTCATTCTCACCCTTACTTCACTCTTGAGAGGTAGGGCTCCTTTATAATTACGTGGTTGCTGTCAAACTTTCTGTGAAAGTTTGGGAGCTGTGTGTATGTGCGTGTGTACACCTGTGTGCCTGTATGTACTGTGTGTCACTGAAATTACCTGGAGTGAGGATTACTTGTAATTAAAATATTTATAAAAGAAACAACTTTATTCACAAAGTCCAGTTTTGGACTGATCTTTATCTTGTTTTTTTAAATCTAATAGCACTGATTATAGGAAGTAAAAGCAGAAAGGAAAACAAATTACCACCAGGAAGACCCTTTGAGTTAGATAGGAGGCTTCCTGGGGACTTTCATGCAGCACTCCAAAGTGATCGCTCCCCCACCTGTCTTCCCATCTGTGTGTCCCCCAGGTGAGGACACTTCTGTGTCACTTCCACTTCCCTTTTGCCAATTTTTGCATAGTCAATTGCCACTCCCCCAAAACATCAGTGTCTCCATCTAGATGCGACTCTGGAGACTGCAGAAGGCTTGGTTTGACTTAGTTAAGAGATTCCCATCTCAGCCTCCCTCTCCCTCTCCTCAAACAAGACCTGATCTGGTATCTCTGGGGCTTGGAGCTGAAGGCCTGAAACCGGCTAAAATTCGTATACTTGGTCCCCTTGGTTTTGAGGAGAAACTTCCCCTATGCCATTCTTCCAGTCTCCTCAATGGGTTTTGCCATTGTTTTCTAAATTGGGTTCATTCAGTTAAGGAGGGTGGGGGTAAGGAGAGGGTTTATCAGTGTGTAGTGAGTGTTTCATGTGTGGAATGTTTGTTTCTTACTACAGTGGGACTGGGGTTGAAACCACCGCTCCCACTCTGTTGGCTCAGTCCTGAGATGATGATGGGGTGGCTTATAGCCAGCAACATTGTGCATGTGAAAGCATCTGTAATTAGTAATTTATTCCTCCCTTGAGCTGTTTAGTCTGAGGTTTTTTAACTTGCAGGCAACTAACTGACCACGTCGTCCAGTTATTCCTTGCTTTTTACACACCATGTTGCAGGTAACAGCTGTTCCACCCACAGATCCCTCCTTCATTCTAAGCACATACTTGGCTTCTGTCAGAAGCCCACCTGAGGAAAGGAAAAATCATTTATTCCTGCCCTCCAGTTTCCAAGTTGCTCTCCCAATTATCCCCTCTGCTCTGGGCATAAATGGAGAAAATGAAAAGAAAGAATGTCTTCCCCCAGAGGATAGGCACTAAGAGAGAGGAGAGAAAGCAAGTCCATCCTATCTTGGTGGTACAAGGCATGCATCACAGGTTCTAGAATTCTCATCTTCTAACCTAGAGAAATAGGTGCTATAAAACAGGGAACTAAAGCAAAGTGCTGGATGCTATAGATCTTTTAATTGTCTTAATTTTTTCTATTATTAAACTACAAGCTGTAGATTTCTTAGTTCTCAGAGAACTTCTATCATTTTAAACTGACTTGTATATTTAAAAAAAATCTGAAGTAGGATGTTTTGTAACGTTGCCAGACCCTCTTCTGTGATGGGTAATATGTTTGATTGTTTGAGATTTTGTTTTTAAAAATGTAGCACTTGACTTTTGGGCAAGTAAAAAAATAAATATTATTCCACTGCAAAATGGTTTGAGTGAGTATGTATAGCCAAGAGACGTCAAGATAAAGGCCCCAAATGACTGACTTGGGGTGTTTGAGGGGTTGCTTGGAATAAAAAGCAATAATTCCCTTAAGGTTAAGCACAGGTCAAGTACATACATAAAGTATGACCTGCTTGCTTCTGGTTGCCAACTCTGGCCCAAAATCATTTGTTCTGAGGACCAGTTGAGGGTGGAGATGCCTGCGGCTTCAAAGTAGTGTGGCACTTGAAAACTCAGACCGAAGATCTGGAAGTGTTACAGGGCAGGGAGAGTGGCACCCCTAACTCCCCAAACCTGCCCATTCTAAATGGGTTCTGTCATCCGCCGCAGCAAGACAAAACATAAGAATGTTAATGGAAAGGAACTTTTTTTTTGCCTTGAATTTATTTGTCCATATTTATATTTATACTCCATTTTATTCCCAGATAAGATTTAAGTAAACATACACATATCTTCACACATATCCCAACTGAATATGTGGGAACTGCATTTCTGAAAGATTTTTGAACCAAAACCTCAATTTGTTTAGTTTTTGGTCAACATACAAAAGTACTTGTGTTTTCATCACTTAATTTTTTGAGCTGGTTAGCTTTTGCAGGGGGTGAGTAATGTCTAGCAAGCCTCCTCTGTTGAAACCCAAATACGCTCATGTTGTGCACTTAGATCCCACTAGAGGAAGCAGAAAGGAACTTTTTTTTTTTTTTAAGATTGATTTATACATGCAGAACTGAGGTGCAGGGGGTGGGGTGAGAGGATTCACCAGAGACGGGAGCAGAACAGGCAGATTGACAAAGTACACTGCTGAGGGGAGCAGCAGACAGGTCAGGAGAGGTCTGACATGTCATATGGGTTATCTCCCTGGCCAGGGACCGAACTTGTCAGGCTGCAGTGGCTGCAATAGCTTTATAGTGCTGTGCTTTAACCCTTTGCAACACCAGGAAGGGCATGGAAAGGAATTTTTATATATATATATTTATTTATGCATACAGAACTGGCCAGAGGTGAAGGGGCAGTGAGAGGCTTCACTGGAGACAGTGGGGTTGCAGAACAGGCAGCTCCACAAACCACACTGCTGAGGGGAGCAGCGGGGGGCTCTGCTGTACCATGTGGGTCACCTCCAGAGTGGGGATCGAACACTTGCTGAAGTGGCTTTAGCTTCTTAGTGCTGCACTTTAACCCACTGCATCACCAGGAAGGGCCCCGGAAAGGAACTTTTAGTTTCTAAGTCAAACACCCTAGGTTACCCACCCCTTCGTGGATAAAAGGCCACCCAACAGGGATTGGCCCTGAAAGCCCATCACAAGTCTAAAGCACCTTCTGGAGGGGACCCACAGAAAAGGGTCAGAAATGGCCAGACAAGTCTGGGAGGAAAAGAGCCAAATCAAAATCAAGATAAACGATGCCCAAATCAACATCCGCAATGGTCTCTCACCCACATCTGGTTCAACCAGTCCAGGACCAAGAAACAAGAACTGCTTCTTCACATGTGTCTCTGCAACATGTGCCTCCCTTAGGTCTCCTGGCTCTCCATCCTGCTTCCTTCCCCTTCAGTCTCCTCTTCAGATTCTTCTCTGCTCAGTTCCACCCTTCTTGGGTAGGGCAGGGAAACTGGAACCTCCCCTTTTCCAGGGGGCCCTGTTATAGGAATATGTAGTCCTTGCTCTGAATGCCCCTATGGATTTAAGCATAAAACATGTTTGGTGATGGGCCCTGTCTGCTTCAGTGTGTGTGGGGGGGGGGGGGGGGGCTTCTGAGGGTGACAAAGTAGTTGCACAGTTTCCAAGAAATATTTTTTTCTTTAAGTTGGAACCAGAGAGCACAATTTCCCTTTATAAGAGGAGGGTACAGTGATCATAGTAAGGATAGTCTTCCCAAAGCCCATTTGGGAAAGTAGCAGAAAGGCAGATTGCTGAATCATATACCATCTTCCTCAGCCATCTCTGGAATACCTGCAGGTCTGGGCCTATCCCTGTCACATGGCATTTGTTCCTTTCCAGGGCAAGTTGGGCACAGCTACCTTCTACACCTGGCTTAGGGACTGACTTGATTCATCTTTGGTCATATACCTTTATGACCAAAGGCTGCAAAACAGGAAAGGGGAGGTTGAATGAGCTGAAGGAATTGTGAGAGCTTTCTCTACTTTTAGAAAAGGACTGAAATTAGGGGCCTCTCTGGTGGCGCAAGGGGTTAAAATAGCACTACAACCCGAAGCTATCTGCAGCCACTGCAGAGTTCCATCCTGGCTCACTGCCCCCCTCAGCAGTGTATTTCAGTGGATCTGCCTGTTCTGCTCCCCACTCTACCTTTGGTGAATCCTCTCACCCATGCATCTCTGACCTGTACCCCAATTCTTATATGCATAAACAAAATATTAAAAAAAAAAAGACTGAAATTATCCTTTCCCCAAATGAGGTATTTATATAGAGAGTCCACAATCCATTGAAGATTAATTGGAATTTTCAAAATATTCCATGCTCAAATTATTTTGGGGAAATGCAGATTAAAACAAAGTCATGTTTCTTCACAACCTCAAGTTTTTGGTTACTATGGGACTCATGTTTGTGGAACATTCCCAGAGAAAGGTAACTGGATGGGTCTCTAGCCTCCATGGAATATTGACTCTGTTCCCACTTTCCAGCCAAACTTTACAGCAATTCGGGTATCACAGAAGGGCTTTGTGGACTTTATGGTATCCCTCCCTTTCCTGCCAGCAGTCTCTACCTCCAGGCTATGAAAGAGCTTCCTTGTTCTTCCTCAGGCCACAGGTCTCATTCTAAAAGTTCTGCTGGTTCCTCCCACCACCCTTCGAGGCTTTTGCAGATGTTTTTGGAACCTTATTTAAGCTCCAGGTTCCCCATCCTAGCCACTCCCAGAGTTGATTGATCTGACTCTCAGTGTTACTACTAAGCTGAAGAAACCCAGTCCAGGTTTCTGATCCAGGGGCTACAGACAGTCCCTTGAGCAAATATCCTGAAATAGCAAGTCTGGGGATCAAGATCCTTGCCTTACCATTGGGAGTCAGTCTTGGAAGAGCTTGCACCCAAGTGTTTTTTATTTATCCATACAAGAACTGGGGTGTAGGTCAGGAGTGCCAGAATGAAAGGATTCAACAGAGATAGAGTAGGGAGCAGAAGAAGCAGATGTACTGAAATGCACTGCTTAGGGGAGTAGTGGGTGAGAAAGGAAAGGTCTGCTACACCATGTGGGTTAGCTCAGTATCAGGGATGGGGATAGAACTCAGGTTTCCAATGGCTGGTGAATTGCTGCATAGTGCTCAGGCTTTAACCCCTGCACCACCAGGGAGCCCTTCCCTCTCCACCCCCTACATATACCCAAGTGCTTTTTTGGTTTTGTATTTCTGTTAATTGGTGTCTGGGAGAGGGCATTATGAGAAGGAGAAAAAGATAAAGAGGAAAGATAATTCAATGTCACTTGCTTTTAGCCACATTTTAGTTGGTGTGCTGGGATTTCTAGAATAAATATGGGCTGATTCTAACGATAATGAGCAAATCTAGAGAAAGTTCAGCTTTCTTCTACCCCCATTTTATTAGTCTCTTCTAGACCATAATCCAGGACCCTCCCTGGTGGTGCAAGGGACTAAAGTGAAGCACTATGAAGCAGCCACTGAGCACAAGTTTGATCCCAGGGCAGGGAGGTGACCCACATGGTACAGCAGACCTCTACTTTCACCACCACTGCTCCCCCCAGCATTGTATTTCAGTCAGTCTGCCTGTTCTGTTGCCCACACTGTCTCCAGTGAGGCCTCTTAAGCTTCCCCCCTTCCACGCATCTCTGGCCTATACCCCAGGTCTTGTTTGCATAAATAAATAATTAAAATATATAATAATAAAACATAATCCAAAGAAACAAAGGTGAGAAATTTGTACACTGTCACTGGAGAGAGAGGTATGAACTGAACTGCTTAAGATCGGGTTGTAAGCTCTGTTATGATTCATCTCTCCAAGACAGAGTATGAGCTGTCCTCTCAAATTCCCCCTGGGTTGAGCTTCACATGTGAACACTCCTCTTGATTAGTGTGTAATTGCTGAAGTCAGAATTTTTAAAGGATAATAACACTCATTAGCTGAGCTCAGAGTCACATGTTTACTGTGTTCTTGTTAAGCATTATTCAGAGCTGTAATTAAAATCCCAAGTGCTATGGTCAGGAAGAAAACAAATAATCAACTTCCCTTACTGGGAACTATTTTATTCTTAGCTGACCAAAGGACTGAAAATAATGGGGCTTCTTTGTTCTGCAGGGTCAAGGCCATTTGCCCATTGCAGAGAATACACTGCTAAGTACATTGTCTTAGGTATGGAGGTTGGAGACCCTAAAATGTATTGTTTACCTAAGAAATATTCCTTATCCTCACAACCAACACCACCTCTGTTCTAGTCCCTTCTACTAAAAACAAAATTATTGTCTCAACCACCTTGCTTAAGTTTCCAGCATTAAATTTTTTTTTCTGAGGGGGTGCATTTGAGGGAGATGGTGATATTGGGCATCCCAAACAAATTATATTACCTTATTAAAGATAGTATTACTGGGCCACCCATTCAGGACCATTCTGCTCAGAGACCTTTCGTGTCCTTCCTCTTGTATATTAATAAATATCTTGCATTTCTGAAGCTATCGCCAGCCACTGCAGCATGAGTTCGGTCCCCAGCCAGAAATTTAACATACACAGCACAGCAGATCTTTCCTTTCTGGCCCACTGCCTTCCTCAGCAGTGTATTTTAATAGATCTGCCTTTTCTGCTCCCCAACTTTAACCCTTGAGCCACCAGGGGAGGCCCCTAAATTTAATCTTATTACAACAAGATGATGCTTGTTCATATGTGAGTCCTTTGTGGTGGTTGTGATCTATTCATCTGCCAATCATATTTTCCTCTTAGTCATTTCATTCCTTCCTTACATTATGGCTTAAGATAAGGTTTTCTTTCTTTATGATATGGTGGCATGAAATC